CTGAGGAAGTAAAACCAACCCTGAGTCAGGACTAATTTTCCATTTTAGCATTTTTGGGAGTGATTTTAGTCCTATATGTTCATGTAGGAAAATGTTGCCTGCCAAAAAATTGTGGTTGCATTTTCTTTCTGAGTGCTACAATTAGCCAAGTTAATTATGGCCACAGCAATTAATAACCTCTGGAAATGGTTTTAGAAATAATTGAGCTCAGCCCTTGTTTTGCAATTGGTTGTGTAATGGAGAGAATCAAAAGGATGGTGCCACGATAAAAAAACCCAAAAAATAGCCCCCAAAAAACCCCTCCAAACAAACAGGACACTTCTCTGTCCAAGATGCCACCTTAGATTTTTAGTTGCCTAAAATGTTTGAGCTCAGAAATCTCTGTGGATCAGAGGCAAAGGTGGTAACTGGAGCAGATTTTTAGTGAAATGGCAAAGGCACCTCCTGAAATTCCTGGACTCTGGAGCGTGGAAGCATCAAGATTCCTGCTCCAATCCTTCCTCCCAATCCTGGATACCGCTGGATCGTTCTGGGATCATTGAAATGGGAATTTTCCACCATCTGGATGATTTCCTCAATGAGAAATATTTCAGTTTTTCATTGCGTCTGTCGTGGTTTTATTAACTCAGTTTACCCTTTGTAGGTGCACAATGTCATGAACGATGCCGAGGATTCCCTGGAATTCCGGGACAGGGTCATTAAAGCCTCCTTGGACTATGGATATCTGGTTGTTTCCACTTCCCTTCAGTGTTACGTGTTCTCGTGAGTCAATCCCAAATCCATCTCCCTCAGCTCTATCCAACAGCTTTTTTTTTTTTATCCAACCTCCACAGCCCTGTAAAACAGTTCAGAAATATTTAAAAAAATATCTTTATTTCCCATAAATACGATTTTTCTGCTTGCTAAGACTGCTGGCTCAGCTGCTGCTGCTGTGAGGGGATGCAAAAATAAATATATTATGTGCTTATATTTCTTTGCTTCCTAAATGCTGCTTAATTTTAAAAACCTCCCCTTTTAGGAGTGTCAGAGCATTAAAATCTGTAGGGTTTGCTTAGCGAATCCAACTTTGTGTTTGCAGAGTGAACATTTTTGTGGGGGTTTTAATGCTGTTGTTTTTTTTTTTTCTTTCATTTCAGGACAAAGAACTGGAACACCCCCCTGATCTTTGACCTGAAGGAGGGAACAGTGAGTTTGATTTTACAAGCAGAAAGGTACCTTTTGGGACTCCTGGTAATGCCCCTTATTAGATGTGAATATAATATAAAATATAATTATTAACTATTGAATGTGGACATAGAAGCACAAACTGAAATATTACAAGTAGAAAACACAGATTTCTAACTGATTTCTCATATAATTAAAAACGGAAAACACGTGAAAAAAATCCATAAATATTTCAGATAATAAATATTTCTCCTGGAAAGAGATAGTATTCACATTAAAAGTTAACACTTTCGCACAGAACTTCCAGAATTACCTTAAAAATAATGAGGTTGAACTTGAAACAGTTGCAGGATTTTAAACAATTCCCTTCACATTGTGAGATTTTCTGGTTCTCTCTATTATTTAGTGTTTAATTTTTTTGCTGGTTGTTTTCTTTTTTTTCTTTTTTTTTTTTTTTATTTTTTGGTAGGCATTTTCTTCTTGTAGATGGTGGAGGACTTTATTTATATTCCTATGAGGGCAGATTAATTTCCTCTCCAAAATATCCAGGCATGAGAACAGACATTTTAAATGCCCAGACGGTGTCTCTGAGCAACGACACCCTGGCAGTGAAGGACAAAGCTGATGAGAAGGGTGAGTTCTCTGGGATTTATTAAAAAAAAAATTCATATATTCATTGTAGAAATTCATATATTCACTATAAAAATTATTTGAAATTCATATATCCACTATAAAGTGAATTGCAATCACTTGTCTTGCTTAAAATTGATACATATATATATATTTCACTGAAATTCCAGTTGATTAATGGATCAGAACTGTGGAATACTTGCAGAAAATAATAGAAAAATAGGTTTTCACAACCTCACATGGGCACTAAAAACTCAGTGATATTCCCTGATAATAAACCACACCTGCTAAAATACAATAAAACCCAATAGAATAAAAACACAATTCTCTTTTCTCTGGCTGAGACAACGACCTTTATTAATATTTTTAGTTTCTGCCTGTAAAAAAAAAAAGATATATTTTAGGGGTTAAATGATTGAAAAACCACGTGGAGTTTTTCCAGTAGGAAAAAAAAAACAACCTCAAATTTATTTCTGAAATTAATTGCAGATTAAGGAGAATTGAAGCAATTTCACTGGTGAATTAGTGCAGGGGGTTTTTTACAGCTCCTTTAATCTCACTTCCTCCAGCTGCTCTGGGGGTGTCAAATCGACTTGCTTGGGTAAACCTACAAATTTCAAGCTTAAAAGTGAGACAAAAAAACACTTCTGAGGAACGACAAATTTTCTTTTGTGTCTTCAACCCTTTTTTTTTTGCCTCCTCTGCACAACCAACCGATGGTTTGAACACCTGCCCTGGCAGTTTGGATTTTTTTTTATTGAATTCTGCCTGTAAAAATGTGCTTATTGAGAGAGAAAAACTTTATTTTCAGGCAAGTTGCAAATTGGAATTTTCACTGGATACCCCCAAAAAACCCCCAGCTGATGTAGGTGGGCTTTTTTATTAAGGCGGAGGCAGAGAGAGAGTGGAACAAGTGGTAAAGGTGTAAGAATTATATATATTTTATATATATATATATACATAATTCAAGCCTCCAGGAAAATTCAAATATCAAGTAAAATCCAAAATACCTGGATAAACCAATTGGTTTTTGAGAAAACCAGTAATTAATGTGTAATATTAATTAATCATAACTGTGGCATCATGAGAAGCAGCTTGAACTGTCCCTGGGAGAAAATATGGATTAAAAATTCCAAATAAAGCAGGTTATTAATAAAATAATCTATGTTTCTCAGGAATGTTTTCCCCAACAGGTCTGAGGACATCTTCTAATATATCTGATATTAAACCCTTTAATTTAATTTAACCAGTCAATGGCATCACTTCCTAAACATTCACATTGATGAAAATTTTGGGTTAAGATTCAGTAAATCAGATATTGGGAACAGGAATTTATTCATTAACTTGCCTCAGAATTTGGTGTCATTTCTCTTGCTTTGAACTAATAAATGTTTTTGGGTTTTCCTTCAGTTATTTACATATTTGAAGCTCTATCTGGAAAGCCCCTGGGTGATGGAAAACCTCTGACCCACAAGGTGAGGGGAAGGATTTAATGTCTGATTTTCATTATGCTTAGGAATTAAGAACCAATTATGGGTTTCCTCAAAAATGAGGACTGTTGAAGGTTTTAAAACCTTAAAATGGAGGAGCTTTTCAGCTCTGACTGACTTTTATCTTCACTCTCCTGGTGCAGAACTTTTTTTTAATCTTCATGAAATCCAATTTATAAAATCGTAATTCGGAAATTCCTTTTTTTTTCCCCTTTCCAGACCGAAATCGTGGAGATTGCTCTGGACCAGAAGGGCCTGACAAGTGAGAGAAAAATTGCATTTATTGATAAGAACAGAGATCTTTACATCACCTCGGTGAAGAGGTTTGGCAAAGAGCAGAAGATTGTCAAAATAGGTGAGGAAAATTCCAGTTCGTGTTTTGGGACCGTGCTAGGGGGGAATTCGATTTTTCTCCAGTACATTTGGCTTTTTAATTCATAGTGAAATTCAACCTGAAAAAAAAAAAAGAAAAAAGAAAAATTAGAAATAGTTCTTTGGGCAGTTTTAATAGATATTGTCTGAATTCTGATAATTTTTATAACGTGTGAAACACAAACCAGGGGGTTACAACCAGCCCTATGAAACGAGCTAAAAACGATGAATAATGACCTTTTTTACTTCAGTTTGAGAAGGGCACCTTTATTTTGGAAGCTTCTCACGGAAATGCACCTTTTTTGTCTTGAAATTAAGGAACGATGGTTCAAACCTTGGCTTGGAATGACACTTCCAACATCCTCTGTGGGATGCAGGACACCCGTCTGACAGTCTGGTACTACCCCAACTCTGTCTACGTGGACAAAGATCTCCTCCCAAAAACCCTCTGTGAGAAAGATGGAAGGTAATACATCATATTTCCATAAAATAGGATGTGTTTTAACCTGTTTTCTCATCCTTTCCCAAACTGTGGCCAGGGGAAGTGGAAGCAGAGGTTGCAGCTCTTCGAACTCTCTTTGTGTTACTCGATCGGGAAATGAGGGGAAAAAAGTGGATTTTCTACTTAAACCCTGAAGTGTGGAGTTGAAATGATGATTTGAAAGCAGAGCAGCCTCTTGGTGCAACAGCAAGAGTTTAATTCTGTCTCATGGAAACCTGCCCAAACAAACAAAACAGAAGATTTCTTTAAATTGTTGGAAATCAAAACTAGAAGGATACGAAGTCAGTGCTAATTTCTGTGAGTGAGGATTAACTTCCCTTTCTTCCTCTCCGCAGCGAGTTCAGCAAAAACCCCCAGATTGTGAGCTTTGTGGGGAATCAGATAACCATCAGGAGAGCAGACGGTTCCCTCGTGCACCTGAACATCTCCCCTTATCCCGGGATTCTCCACGACTACGTCCGTGCTTCCCGCTGGGAAGACGCCGTCCGGCTGTGCCGCTTTGTCAAGGTAAGTGCCGAGCCCTGGGAATGTTCAGCTGCCATTCCCACCTTGCTGGATTTCTTTGGAAAATTCCATGGTTTTCATCATCTGCTCTCACAGTCAGAATTTAATGATCTACCTAATGGCACCTTTATCGTTATAAACAATAATCCTTCTTTTTTTAGTCATCCCAGCGGGATTGAACACAGAGCTTAGTTCTGAGCTTCACTTTCACCAGTTAAGAAGGATCTTCATCTCCACAGTTATCTCTTATTTTTCTTATTTTCTTTCACTTTGTTTTTTTTTTCTTTTCCCTTGCTTGCTTTTTTATATATTTAGACAACAGCAACAGGTGAGGTGAGTGTGGTAGTGTTTAAAACAAAACCCAAATCCCTCCGAGCTCTTAATTCCTTTATCCCCTTTACTCCTAGAAAAGAGTTTTCATCCTGACCTTAAATGTGTATTTCAGACATTCCTCTGGCTGCTTTATAAAATCAATAGCCAGCCATGTAAGTTGGGCTGTATAATTATAATAAAGGCTTTATTTTCGGTGGGAAGAGTCTTCACATCATCTGATTGAAGCATCCAAATCAGGTTATTTGGATTTTTGGCCACCCAGGCAGACAGTTCAGAATATTTCCAATCAGGAATAAGAAAACTGAGGGATATTTCTGAGGAGGGGGATAAAAAGAGAAGCAAGACCCATCAGGGAACAACTCCTGCAAACTTCCTCTGGATAATTTCACTCTGAACTTTCCATATTATCACCTAATTTTATACATAATGGGGAAATGGGACAAGAAAAAGTGACCAAGATGTTTATGATGTCTAAATTAGAGCTTTCAGCTGTGGTAGCCCAGTTATAAGCTATATTAGGAAACATATGAAAAACATATTTCTATATTAGAAATTAGAAATTTCTGTATTAGAAATATGTTTCAGCAGTGTGGCTTTGTCATAACCTTGTCACTTGATATCAAAATGTCATTCAGGATCTTCCTGAATGTTATTATGAGTTTGTGGTTAAGGTTGTGGTAAAAAAAAAACAAAAAACAAAAACAAAACCAGAAAGAACAAACCAGAAACAACCAAGCAACAGAAGCAATGAAAATAATTAAAAAAGGGTGTAATATTATTATAATATTATTATTATTACCTATAAATGTTTCCAATTCCCAGTTCAGAGAAGTAATTAATCAGTGATTTTACAATGAGAAACTCAGACCACGGTGCCACAAGTGGCAGAGTGAGAAAGGACTCGTGTGCTCCCTTTGGGAAGTGATTTTTAGGGTGCCAGCAGATATTTGAAGGTGGAAAAGCTGCTTTTTGGTGTGAATTCCAGGAGCAGAGCCTGTGGGCGTGCTTGGCTGCCATGGCAGTGGCCAACAAAGACATGGCAACAGCTGAGATCGCCTATGCAGCCATCGGGGAGGTAAGAGAAGTGCTGCAAAGCTCGGTTTGAATCATTCCTGCCCCTGACTGAAGTGCTGTGCTTTGCCCTTGGCAGATTGACAAGGTGCAGTACATCAATTCCATCCGGGATCTGCCCTCCAGGGAGTCCAGGATGGCTCACATGCTGCTCTTCAGTGGCAACACCCAGGAGGCTGAAACTCTGCTGCTTCAGGCAGGCCTGGTTTACCAAGCCATTCAGGTCAACATCAATCTCTACAACTGGGACAGGTGGGGGTTTCTGCAAGCAAATGATGTTTTTAAGCAGTTTCTCTGATTATTTACACCAGTTGTTTTATTGCTGGCTGATATTTAGCTGACTCATTTTCTGCCTTGAACCGCCCCAGAGCTGTGAAAAGATGAAGGAAATCATATCCTGACAACCACCAGGAAAAGGCACATTCTTGGGCCATATTTAGAAAACACAGATATTGTGGGAGGAAAGTCCACTCCGTGCTTGGAAGGGTTTGGAAATAACATTTAAATGACATTTTCATCGCTGCTAACACGGAAAAGTCCTTTGTGATGCCCCCAAAGTGAGGGTGACCCTCAAGGAATTAGGGCTGTTTTGAAATGTCCTGTTGCTAAAAATAGAGCTGTGGCCATCCAGGCTCCCAGCACTGTGTAGGTGGATAAAATATGAATTAGGCCTGAGAAAACAAAGCAGGAATTTCTCCTTTAAACACAAACCCACGTTTTGTGACACAATCTTCTGAGGCCATTTACTCCTGATTTCTCTGCATCACTGTGGGCAAAAGGTTGTTTTCTCCCCACACATCTGTGTGGCTGTTTTTGTTTTGCTGCCTAATTTGAAGCTGTGCAAGGGGAGAGGTGTAGGCTGGATATCAGGAAAAGGATATTCTGTTATTTATGGATCAGCTGAAAACTCTGGATATCAAACATGAATGTTCCTTTCTGAGAAGAAAACAGATGTAATAAATTACATTAACCCAGTGACTAATCTATAATTGTAAATACTGTAGAGCACATCCCATAAATGTGCATTATGTTCAGAAGCTGTAAAAAAAGTTACCAACCATCATCATTTTTACCCTTTTACACTGAGAGGGCTGAACTCCAAAATATTCTTCTCTGCCCCAGGGCCCTGGAGCTGGCAGTGAAGCACAAGACACACGTGGACACAGTCCTGGCTTACAGACAGAAGTTCTTGAAGGATTTTGGGAAGAAAGAAACCAACAAGAGGTTTTTGCAGTATGCAGAAGGGGTAGGTGTTCCTCAGTCCTGCGGCCTGGGCTTGGTGGGCTGGGTTTGCTCTTATATTTTCCTTCTGTGGTTCAAATGTGAAGATAAATATGTAGATTTTTACATCTAAGGTCATGGTTTGGGTGTGTTGGGGCTGCTTGGCCAGGAAGAGCTGGGCACGTGTTTTACTTGAAGGTACAGATGCAGAACATTTATTTATTTATTTATTTATTTATTTATTTATTTATTTAAGAACTGGCAAGAATTCTATCAACAGGGAGCTGGACCTCACTGTGGGTAAATGTGTCTCTCTTAAATGTCTTCACTATTTTTATGTCATTTTATGGACATCAACAACAACAAACTTTGAAGGTGTCCAGATATTTATGAAGTGAACTACAAACCATTCTGCCAAATATGATAAACAGTTAAACACCCATTGTCATCCAACCCTGGGAACCCTCTCCAGCATCATGGCACTTCCATTTATTACTGATTTTCAATTTACTGGTATTTAAGAGATCTTAAAGACAGAGGTGGGATCTGACTTTAAGGGCAGATCTCAAAGTCCAAGCAAGGTGTGAGCAGAGTGATTTTTTTCACCTCACACTCTCAAAACTTGGGTCTCAGAACGCAGATTTCTGGAGGAAAGGAGTCTTTTTCCACATCCATGTGCTGCAGGTCTTGTCTGCTGGATCTCAGAACTGTTTGAGGGAGTGGATTTTAAGCTGTAACTACGTTTTCATTGCAACCCCCTAAAGCAAATTCAGAAGGAAATCACAAGAGCACGCAAGGGAAAAGCCAGATTTTGTGCTGCTCTTCCTTCTCAGGGATAAAAAAAGGTCTCAGCTTCCCTCTCCCCACCTAAAACTCCTTCAGGCTTAAATAAGGAGGTTTTTTGGGTGTGTTTTTGTGGCTATCAGATGCACCGTGATCCATTTTTTTCCCATCAAGCCCTTTTGGAAAACAAGAGCAACTGCTGTGCCTCACACATCACTGGGCTGAGGTTTCACTGACACAGGATACAGGCAGAAAATGACAATTCCCTGCAGCTGGAGAAGAGCCAAGGCCAAGCCAAAACACTTGTTGATGGCAGCAGAAGGCAAATTTGAAGCAGAAATCTGATTTCTGGTGCAGCAGATGACTGGTGGAACACGCTCTCAGCTCCCCCACAGGAGACATCCCTCATTTATTATTGATTTATTATTGATGAGCTCTCAGTAACAGGACACTGATGTCCTGACACTGGAACTAAAAGCAAGTTATTTTCTGTGTTTTGATGTTTTATAATTGCCAGACACGGGGAGATGTGCCTTGTTAAAATAGATCAAGCTTGGCTTAGTGTAAGGGTAGAAGCTCTGTTAGAGCTCAGCTGTGCCTTGGTATCTTCCAGGAGTAGAAGTTAAATCCTCTCCTCACTTTGTCGTTGTCTCTTCCAATTGTCCTGCTGGTGAATAATTAATCTGACCCCTCTACCTGACCTCTGCGTATTTGCTCTTCTGTTCTTACAGCTGGAAGTGGACTGGAATAAAATCAGAGCCAAAATACAGATGGAAATCGTTAAAGAGAGAGAACGAGCAGCAGCCAGTCCTGCAGGGAGGACCAGTGTGACCGTGCAGCAATAACTGACATTTTGGGCACCTCAGCAACTGCTTCTGGAATGTTTTGGGCTGGCATATTTTGATAAACATTCAAAAAAAAAAAAGCCCCAGGAACATTTAATGGGCAGCAGGAGTGAGAATTTGTGGAGATCTTCATGGCTGGGTGCCACGCAGGGTGATTTATCTGCTCTCATTTTGAGCTGGGTTTATGTTCTGCTGCCCTGGCTCCATTTTAGTCCATAATATCTGAGAAAAAAAAAAAAGGGAAATTAACTGTCCCTCTGTTAGTGGCTTTTCAGTTGTCATTGCCAGTCAAATGACTTCACCTTGGTTGCCTCTAATTAAGGACCAATTTCTCTGTTCAAGCACCTTGTGAAGAGGTTGAGTTATTTCTGCAGCCTCAGGGACCTCTCCAAAGTCTTGTGTAAATTGTCCTAAAAGCAAATTTAGCAAACTGTAAGTGCTGAGAATGTAAAAAAAGATATAAATGCAGAACATTTCACTCCCAGTTCAGGTAACACCTTTTTCTATCAGTGCATGTGGAGCAGCAGGTTCTTTAACAGAGAATTTCAGCAACTCTGCTTTGTCCCTGAGCAAAATATTTACCAGTAAAGGGTGTTTTCTGAGAGACTCTAAGTTTTAGTTTAAAATACTTGGGAATTGTACTGCACTGAGGGTTGGTTCTGTTATCCATCACTGACATTGTATAATATGTATTTTTCAAATGTTACCACCAAAAAATATCTGTACATATCTATGGGAAATGTCTTCTGGTTTTGTAAATCAATATGTGACCCTTCTGTGCATAGTTCATAAATTTCATAATAAAACCAAATAATAAATAAATAAAAAAAAAATAGCAGAAGGACACAGCTGTTTCAGGTATGGTTTGGTTACATCATTGCCCAGAGCAAAAATAGTGATTCCTCAGCCATTTAATATCTCTGGAAAAAAAATAAATCATCCCTTCAACATTTAAATATTTAAGCTTGATTTAAAGCAGTCTGAGAAGCAGGGATGAAATGATGGAAATTCCATTGTGGGGGTGCTGTTGAGCTGGATCAGTTATCAAATATAACCCCAATTTTACCATTGCAGGGTGGGAGCTGAGCTCTTACTCTTCATTTTACATCGACCACAACCCTCTCTGCTTACCAGAACAGCAGGTGGAAAAAAATCTCTTTAAAAAAGAGGTAAAAAGGAAAAGCTCAGGTGAGTGTTTAAAAGCCCATTGCATATTTTTAATAGCGGGGGGGGGGAAATTTAAAAATACCTTCTGTTTAAATTAAAACAATGAGAGTTTGAGATCTCTGTTTTTCTGTGGGATTTTATCCTTCGGGGCTGGAACAGGAGGAAGCTTTGAATGAATCATCTGAGCTGAAAATTTGATTTCACACTTTAGGTAGAACCATTTCCTGCAGAAGAAACCCTGGTGGTTGTTGCCTCGGTGGCCTCAGAGTAGTCAAAAATTATGAAAAGCCAATCATGGAAAAGCTTGAAGCTTTCTAAAATTTAATTTGAAGTTTAAATATATATATATATATATTTAAATAGATATATAAATATTATATAACCTAGAGATAAGGGGGAATTGTGGGGGTCACTGCTGGGGGTTATATTTTTAATTAGGTATATATGGGTTTAATATTTTTATTGGGTTTATTTTTTTTTTTTTTAATTTATTAAACCTACAAATTCTGAGACTTCTTAATTTTTGTAAGGCCAAAGATGACATTTTACTCTGCAGGGGGAAGAGCTGGGGAGAAAAAAAAAAAGGGCTTATGAATTGATCACGTGGAGGACTCTCCGTTTCCAAAGAACATTTTTTATTGATCCAGTTCGGTGCTATAAAATTTCCAGTGCTGAAACACGACCTGTCCAATTGAATTCAGGAGCCTTTTGCCCTCCTGTGGATGGTTCTGATGGGAACCAAGTGGAAAATCGGGATGGGCTTGGTGTCTCCAGGGGGAGGAGGCAACGTGCCAGATTAAATGGGTGCACGAAACTCGGGGTGTTTAATTATTTAATTCTGTTTTGCTTTATGTAAATGGGGCCGTTGAGATCCTGCAGTTTGGAAATGCTCTGATTCTGTTCTAAATAAACATTCTCTGTGATTACAGATGTGCCTTGAAAAGAGGGAAGGGAAAGGGCTCGTGGCTGCAGCTCCTGACAGGATCCTCCAAGTGCTCAATTCAAGCTGGGGGGAAAAAAAGGGATTTTATGGAGCTTTTGGGCACAAACCGATTCCCTTCTCAGGGGGGAAATCAGGTAAGCTCCTAATCCTGGAGGGAGCTGTGCTCAGTTGGTTTTTTAGGAGTCATTTGGGTGCTCCCAGCTCGTCCAGGTGTGATGTCAGTGAGGATGGAGGTGCTTTGTGCCTATCCTGGGATTTATTTGCTGTATTCCTGCCCGGTGTTCCCGCTGTGGGCCGGAGCTGGGTTGGGATGTGCCCTTCCCTCGGAGCGGGAGGGATCCCAGGCGGGCAGGGGGAAATCAAAGCACGGGAGCAGAAGGTGCCAGGATTTTATTAGCAAGCTCTGGAGGTTTTTTTGCCCCTGCAGCCCCCGGGAGGCTCCGTACACCCGCTGCGGCATTCCCGGCGGGAGAGCCTGATCCTGGAGTGAGCCCGTGCCCAGGCGAGGAGAGCCGGGAATGCTGCGTCCAACTGCAGCCGGCTCTTCCATCCTTCCCTGGAGAGCATGGCACCATCCTGGAGGCGATGTCCTCGCACCAGAGGTGATGTCCCCGAGTCAGTGTCCTCCTGGATGTGTCCTTGGGGGGAGTCCTGGATCCTGTCCCGCTGCGAACCGGCAGCTGCTTCCCAGGCACAGCGGCACCCGCCTCCATGGACCCCAGCATCCTGTGGGAATCCCCGAGGAATCCCGCACATCCCTTCCGCAGAACCGGCTGTCCAGCCAGCCCTCCCGCCGCCGATCCCGCTGGGAGCCTTCCCGGAGATTCCCGATGTCCCTCCAGGGAACGCTGCCGTGTCCTGGGGTCGCATCCCTCCTGGAGACCGCGGGTTCCAGTGCCCGGCCCTTGGGGGATGGATGTCCGGAGTCTCCCGGGGGTCCCGGTCACCCTCTGTGTCCCTCCGTGCGAGCTCCGGGGTGCGGGGGGTGTTTGGGGAGGGGTTCATCCCGGCTCCCCCCGGCCCCAGGGGGTGCGGGGGGGTTTGGGTAGGGGTTCATCCCGGCTCCCCCCGGCCCCAGGGGGTGCGGGGGGGTTTGGGGGTCTCAGCCGCGAACCCCCCCGTGCTGGCAGCTCTGCGCCTCCTCGTAGCTGGGCAGGTGCTTCACCTGCTCGTAGCGGGGCAGCGGCGGCAGCTCCAGCGCCTCTCCCGGGGGGCCAGCGGGACCCCCGAGCGGTCCAGGGTGGGCCGGGGGTCTCGGCCGGGCCGGGGGTCTCCGTCGGGGCTCGGAGCAGGCTCTGCGGCGGAGGGCGCAGCCCGCGGCCAGCAGCGCCAGCAACACGAGCAGCGCCGCGACCCTCCGGGCCACCCACCGAGCCCGGGGGACCCACGGGGGTCCCGCGGCGACCCCCGGGCTGGCCCCCGCCCCGCCGCAGCCCCCTCGGCCGCACGGCCCCGGCCCCCGCCCGCCCGCCATCCCCCCGCGCTCCGCCCGCCCGCGGAGCCGCCTTTTTATCCGCGCCCGGAGGGGCCTCGTCCCGCGTGAAATATTGATGGGCACTTTTGGCCGCGCTCCACGGGCTAATGGGGTCGGGGAACCCGGCCAGGAGCGGCGTGGCCCAGCGGGGAGACCCTGCCACCCACCCCCCAGCGCTCAGCGTGACCCAAAATCGGCGCTGAGGACCAGCTGGGGCAGGACCACCGAGTGGGGATGGTCCGGAATCACTCACAGGGATGATGGGAGGACACGGGGATGAGCCCGTGGATGTGGGATGAGCCCCAGGCTGCAGGGATAAGCAGCACCCTGGACACAAGGATTCAGGGAAGAGCAGGACCTAAGGATGCAGAGGTGAGGGGTACCTAGGGATGCAGGGATGAGCAGTACTGGAGGACACAAGGATATGTGGTACTCAAAAATTCCGGGATGAGCAGTACTGGAGGACACGAGGATGGGTGATACCCAAAAATTCGGGGGTGAGCAGTACCTGAGGACACTGGATGAGTGGTACCCGAGGATGCAGGGAAGGGCAGGACCTAAGGACAGGGGGATGAGCAGGACTCAGGGATGTGAGTGGGGATCCTGGGGATGCAGGAATGAGCAGTACTCGAGGACACAAAGATGTGTGGCAGCCAGGGATGTGGGGATGAGCAACACCTGAGGATGTGGAATGAACTCAGGGATTCCCCCCCTGACCGCAACCCCTCATCGGTGCCGTTTGCTGATTCCCCCCAGCTCAGCTGCAAATGGGAGAAGTCAGGGAGGTCTCAACCACTCATGGAAAAACTTACCAACATGGAAGGTGGCAAAAGCTGAGCAGCACTTCTCTGCCTGGTTTCCTTTTGGGGGAGCATGTGGCCAAATCTGATCAGCGGCCACCGAGCCACCTCCACGAGCGTCACTGGTTTGCTCTGTCCTGTTTGCTCCACTGGCAAGGATTTCACTGCTCAGATCTGCAATCCTGGTCCTGCTGCCAGCCCCACTTCCATGGCTATCACATCTAGGGCACGTTTTGGGGAGCTCAGGAGCAAAGATGGGGGACAAAATGTTCTTGGTGTCAACAAAGCACCAGGCGGAGTTTGGGGAAGGAGGGGATGGATGGGCCTCTGGCAAACAACAAGAACCTGCTGGTCTTTCTCCGTGTTCAGGGGGTTATTGTGTGGGTATATCCTCACTTTTGGGGCGTTTCTGCCTGCAGAAGGTGCTGGAGCTGGGAAGGGTGAGCAGGAGGGTGGGCACAGCCCCAGCTGCTTTAGGACTGACCTGTCTGGGCGCTGCCGGGGTGGCTGCAGGACCCCCTTGCTTTGGGTTCTTCTCCTTGCCCGTGGCCAGCAGGATTTGGGATGGCTCCAGCAGCAGCTCCCTGCAGTGCCAGGGGCCACATTCCCTCCAGACTGCTGCTAATAAGGGATGTGGAGTTTTGAAGGCGAACGGGACGGTGAGTAAACATCGGGCGCCGGG